TTTTTTTTTTTTTTTTTTGAGATATATACAAGAGTTGTTACATTCTTTTACAGCCACTAGTACGCGTAGCGTTTCGGGCAGGTCCCTGGAATACGATCCCCTGCCGCGAAGAATCGTTTTTTCATCCAAGTACACATTTTACTGTTGCGTTAAACAGAGGCTACAGTCAAGGAATTGCGCCCAGTAAATCCTCCCCGGCCAGGATACGAACCCATGACATAGCGCTCGCGGAACGCCAGGCGAGTGTCTTACCACTACACCACGGAGACTTAACATCTATCTACATCTATCATCTTTACCTAGCCCCCAAACCTTACATTTGTCAGCATTAAACTGCATCTGGTAGTCTTAACCATTTCAAAACTATAGGGCATCGGTATTTTTTATTTGCCAATTCTGCAACTATTGCAGTCTAAACCATAATCTTGCGAATAACCGAGGTCCAAGGAGAGCTTTTAGGCACTACTTGCAACACTTCTCCCAACTTAACCCCATTTATACTAAATTTCCTTTGGTATAGCCATGACCTAATCAACTTTAGTCAGCATTCCTAATGATCCGAGCCCCCTATCAATTTTGCGCCACTATCAAAATCTCTGCTGAAGTCAAGGTACACAAAATCCCAAACCTTATCACCATTTCCTCAACTATGCAACCTAATCCATGAACATTTAGTAATAAAACTATGCGATTCATGTATCTAGTCATGTTTCTCAAAAAGAGAAAAGAAATGGCACTTGCAATGTTAGATTCTAGTAACTTTCCTCACAATAGACTAAGCTAATTGGTCACTAACTTAAGCGTTAAAGTTAACTCAAACTTTTCCTTTAAAACTTGCTTTATTAGTAACTTCCCACGACCGGCCTTTACCCGACATAATTAAATAGGGTAAAAACGGTATATTAAGTGCAGTAAAACTACGGTAAATTCAATACGATAAACTTGCATTCTTTAAGCATGGGCTGCATAGTAAGTGAACTAAACTAAATGTTAAGCACCCTGGCAAACCACTTTGTTCTATTCAATTTCTTTATTTAATCACTTTGTCCGGCTAGAATTTTTAAGATTAGATTAAAGGACACCCTCCCTGGTAACGGCTGAACTAGTTAACCAAATACAAATATTTAGGCAAAATACTTTCATAAAACCCGTCTACTTCCCCCACCAGTAGACTTGTTCAGCTAAAGGCATAATATAATGTACGTTCCACTTTAGTAAATAAAGACTTAAAAAAAAAAACTACCCCATCTGTATAGTTACCGGTTACCTGACATTCTACGCTTAAAATAACCCATCTATTCCCCATAATTGTTCGATATAACTTACCTCTCACCCGCTGGTCGAGCACACAGCAGTATATATCCTCCTCCATCACTCACCGCGTGGATACTATTTCACTCTGGCCGCAAATTGCCTCATATCACCTACGTTGTCCATAAACATATATAGAAGAGCAACTGACCGTAACACCCGTATAGCGATCATCACATAACGTGGGAACATTAGTAGTACTGCTGTCAAAATATAGATGGCGCCAGGACAAACGGTAATTCCTATGGACTCGCCTAGTTATGCGTAGGGAATTGAGCTTCAGCTGTTTGGTCCCGCCCCTCAGCTGTATTCACCTAGTTGTACTCACCTAATTTGTGCTTGCAGGGGTTGAGCTTTGGTTCTTTGGTCCCGACTCTCAACCGTCAATCAACAGGTGTACAGGTTCCTGAGCCTATTGGGCTCTATCACATCTACATTTGAAATTGTGTATGGAGTCAGCCTCCACCACATCACTGCTTAATACATTCCATTTGTTAACTACTCTGACACTGAAAAAATTCTTTCTAATATCTCTGTGGCTCATTTGGGTACTAAGTTCCCCTTGTTCGTGTTCCACCCGTGTTAAAGAGCTGTCTTTGTAACTATCAAAATGCATATATCTTTGCTTTCACTTCAGTTATATTTATGACAAGGGATTTAAAATTTGCCTATATTTCTGCTTCTCTGATGACATTAAAAACTTTCGTTTATTACAGTATCTACATAAAATTAACATTTATCTTCATTAGGTTGTAGTTCTCATCAATAGGGAGAGCGTCGGTAAAAAAAAAAATTGTTTAAATATAAATATCTTTCCTCTCTCAATAATATGCCCGAAACGCTATGCGTACTAGGTATTGTATACCTAGGCTTTAGGTATTGTATGTACTAGCTCTATCTATAAATCCAATATTATGTTTGTAAATCGACTATTTATGTACTTTCCTGAATAAAATGAACTTTACTAATATCTAATCTCTGTGACTAAAACGTAAGAACGACTTTATCTATGCCTTTTTGATAACATATACAATTATAAGCTTTGTTAGTGAATCTCTATTAATTAAACAATATATCAGAGAGTGTGTAAGGTTCGGTGTTCCATGTGCGAAGAGTTAGTTTAGTTCATTTATTATGCACCCCATACCCATCTTGTGGGCGGTAGTGGAAAGGGTTACAGAGGCACATAATGGGCTCAGGGACTGAACCCCACAATTCATTTAGCTAAGCAAGTTACAATCTTGATGAGCTAGTTACAAAATTCAATATAAGTCATCACATCATCAATGGGTTCGAAGAGACATGGGAGATTTTACATCAGTACAGTAAATGTTTTAAGTAGCGAACGCATACTAACGAATAACGATTAGTATAGACCAACACTATTGTTCTATGAAGTCGACTTAACTTCCAGACATGTATTTTTCAATAAGTCTTAAATATTTTCTGGCTAGTTATGTTAGATATTATTAGAAATACGTATTCTACTTGTTAATATAATAAACTAAATTTGCGATCATTTAAGGAGAGAAGTGCGACGACTGGATCACTGTGTACAGAAGGTTGATATGCCAACAAACACTTTCCAGACAACAATATATCTTGGATAAGTCGCTCCACAACATTGACACCTGGACCGTTGACTTCCTATGAAGCCACATATTTACTTATTTCATAATGGAAGTATATTAATTTCTAGTAAATATATGTTTTCTCGTGTTCTGCATTAAGCACCAACATTATAGTGAATAAATATACCATATTTCTTCATTATTTAAGTAATGCTAGGAGGCTTTGAGTAGCTTTGGGTCATTAGGTGAACAGAATCTCCAATAGATGGGGCGAGAGTCGCGCTATCTCTCGCCCGAGCGAGTCGAAACTTATTTTAGAATTGATATGTCTTTGTCCTCCAACAAGATATATTTCCTTTGGTGCACTCACAATAACTAGCATATCTCTGTCTTTCTGAAGGCATATAATATTTTAGGCTTTATAAGCGTATCTTTGTTAATTACACACTATATTGGCAAGTGCGTAGGCTTCTGCATTCCATGACCGACAAGCTACTGAATGCCACTATAAAAACGTATGTATCTTCACTTGAGCTTTATATATGTCTATGTTAAAGTATTTAAAATGAAGCTTATATTTCTATCTTTCTTGAGACATATAAAACATGTGTGTTTATTAATGAATTTACGTGAAATAAGCATTGTTCTGAGAGAGAGTTGCTCTGTCGATCAGTCTGTGCGGGGTCGGAGCTCGGCGATTATTAAAATACATGTATCTTCATTAGAACTTTATATATATCTATGGTAAAGTATTTAAAATGAAGCTTATATTTCTATCTTTCTCAACACATATAAAAACATTTGCGTTTATTAACGAATTTACGTGAAATAAGCATTGTTCTGAGAGAGAGTTACTCCGTTGCTCGATCTGTGCGGGATCGGAGCTCGCCGATTAGAAAAATACACGTATCTTCGCTTTAAATACAAATATGCCCATGGTAAGGCATTTAAAATGAAGATTATGTTTCTATCTTTCTTGAGACGTATAAAAATCTTACGTTTATTAACGATTCTGCGTGAAATAAGCATTGTTCTGAGATGAATATTGCGGATTTCCGGCTCTACGACCGATGAAAAATGCAACTTTTATACAACTACAAATATCTTTAGTTTTACTTTAAATTTTGTCCTGAAAGAGTTTTCATATATAGATCCAGTTTCTGCCGTTCTTCTGACATAAAAAGACCTTTGGTTTAATAAGTTATTAAGATGTTTTCAACAATATTACTAGGGCGTTCACCGATTCTAACATGGGCGACCCTTTTGGAAACGCAACACATGGGTTGACCTGATTGATATATGGGTCAGATTCCATTAAGGTTCGGACGTCACAGCCCGAGCCTACAAATTCGCACTTGAATATTCTATTTCATTATATATACTTTAAAGTTCTTTAGCGTATCTTTTTATATTTAATAAATATTGACTTTAATTTTAAGACAATGATACAGATGTAGACTGATAATTGATTGATGAAGATTAAACCACCAAAGAGGTGGCACGGGCGAGAATAGCCCGTAAGTTGTCGATTTATTTGAGTGAATGTGATCTTTGGTCGTGAAAAGATATACTGTGCTGAGCTTGCTTTTAAATCTTCAGTCCTTACTATGTGGTTGCTATCGCGGGGGAGGGTACTGTTTGATGATTATGATTCTGTTTTAGATTCAGCTACTCTGAACAAAGTTGCAAGTAGCACGGGCTATGGTGAGCCCATAGTGGACTTAATTAAATTAATTTGCTCAGGAGCGGGGCTGCATGAATGATGATTCGTCGTCATTTAAGATTTAGCTACTCTGAACTAAAATTTCCATATAGCACGGGCTATAGTGAGCCCGTAAAATGATGATTCACTGTCGACTGCTTATATTGCCAACCTCACCTGACCATTTAGGAAGAGGTATTAATTTTAATTAGTGGACTAAGAATTTACAGCTATTTTATCTACACAAACTAATAAGAATATGGTGCTAAATATGTTACTGACATTATACAGCAGAGATATGAGAGAAGTGTATCTGAAAAAATGATGATTAAATGGCCGTATGCAAACCGTATATATATACCTATGTAAAAATTGTAATCAAATCTGTAATTATGATTTTGTAAATAAAATCTGGTGAATTAATAATGACTTACGAGGGTTGTGAATGCTGCCTGGTGTCAACACCAAGGTTGGTGGCTGCTGGAGTTGGCTCTGCTCGACCTTGGTATTTTATCCCTGTCTGCTTCTCTCCCACCAGTCTTGGCACCCCTGGTGAGTTCCACACACTCTTGAGCCATACACGTTCATGAAATAAAAGAAATTGCAGAATAAAAAGAGTAGAATTCCCTACGAGGAGTATAATAATGGGCAGTCCGTCCGTATTGGTCTGGATCTTGCAATATTTGTAATCGCAGTATCTAAGGAAGTGATATAATTTTTTCGTATGAATAAATGTATACATATTTAATATGTATGGCGTTTTGTTATGCATGTAGAACTAGTAATACATAGGCCTGCAATAGCTGGAATCTGGTTCATGTCAGATTTATTCAAATCAAACTTGATTTAACCTAGTTATGGTATATTGGAAGCAGTTTTATAAGAATCTGTAGCTGAAATTTTAATATAGACCTGTTAGGTATATGCTATGTTGTAGTATACAACATTGGCTAATGTATCAGTAACATAGGAACTTTGCAATATACTGTCCAGCATTTTGGATTATTGCAATATGGACACAAATCAGTTTTCCAATAAATTAAAAAAAAAGCTATCTACCCCTCTGTCCCATCCCAAGTCCACATCGTGATCCCTGTCAAGTGCTATATGTCATAATAGCTTGGCACTGTTGCCTGATAGTTGCCTCCCCCCCCCCATCCAACCAAACTCTTTCTTACCTTGCCCAACCTAACCAAAACTATGACAAAGCTATAATGAAAACTATGACCTGATATATATATATATATATAGTTTTTACAATTAGAAAATGAGGTTTGTTTAAATGACTGATTTGATTACCCCATGGAGACATAATAAGAACCGCTTTGTTTACATCTGTTTACATCGGACCATTTTAACCTATACACAGAACATATGATCAACGCACTATTAAGATCTGACCCAACCCAGATGGGTCAATCCATGTATTGGGTTTTCAAAATGTGCAACCCATGCTGGAATACACAAATGCCCAAAGAATATTGTTGAAAACATCTTGATAACTCATTAAACCCAAATTATTTATGTCAGAAGAGAGACCAGAAAAATATTTTAAGTTAAACCGAAGATATATGTAGTTGTATAAATGTTGCATTTTTCATTGCTCGTCGAATTCTTAACCCATAATATTCATCACAAAACGATGCTTAATTCACCCAGATATATTAATAAATGTAAGAGTTTTATATGTTGCAAGAAGCTAGATGGGGTTCTGGGAGTTCTTCGCTTGTGAGATGTTAATTTCTTTGACATTTTTAATTATGGAAATTGTTACTTACACTTGATGATTTTGTTCTGACATGTTCTCAGGATACATCAGTCAACAGCTACTAAAGAAAAGTTCCACCACTGGTTGCTAGTAACACATGAGGTACCTTTTACTGGATAAGGCACTAAGGTTACCCCAAATAGTTATGGCAGCTAAGGTAAGAAATACTAGTCGTCAAGTTGTTTAAGACATATTTAAGACTATCTCAATTATATCAATTATTGCTACATAATTCATATTGTTGGCAAAAGAAAGCATGTTCAGTACTTGGGTTTATCGAGGTCTCCCCAAGCTAGCTAGTGACCTTTTCCGAGATGCAACTCTAAACTTTTAAGTACTTGTACCTATTTAACTGCTAGGTGAACAGAGGAATCATGTAAAATGGAAACTTGCCCAATCCTTTTTATCCTGCCCAAGGATTGAACATTTTAATATTCAAAAGAACTACTGTATTTAGAAAACAATATGGTGAATATGTACAGCACTGTAATTGGAAATAATTGTCAGTGAAACAATATACAAAATATTTTGTTAATTTCCAGTATACTGTATAATAATTATCAGTAATAAATATCTGCACTTACTGTTTAAAAACATCAATGTTATATAAAACAAAAAATATCTTGAGTATTTATTAAGTGCTCTCTCTTGTCAATATGGAACATAAAACAGTATTGCACGATGAAATCACAAGAACGTGATAAATCTGAGAAAATATTGAAGCCCATCATGGCCCAGTGGGTGATGTGCATGCTTGATGAGTTCAGGGACGCAGGTTTGATCCTAGCATATGACCAATATTTGTTCAGAACTGTATTGGTTCAGTTCATATCTAGATACAATTTACATCTAGTACTCTGTTATACATGGCTTTTCCTTGTGCAATAAATTTTGTTTATGATGGCTGGTGCTGATCTTTATTGCTTTCAGGCAGATATAGAATGTCAAAGATTGACAGCAGTAACTTATGGGAGTAAAATAAAATGGTGCCACGGTGGACTTTAAACCAATCCTAATCCACCAACACCAGGGGTCTCCAAATCTATTGTAAATACTGAAACTTTTATTTATTTTTGTTTTATTTATTTAAATATACAGGAAGGTACATAGGGTTTGTGAGAGTACATAATATTGGTGCCTTTATACATTCTTGCAAAGCCACTAATACACACAGCATTTTGGGCAGGTCCTTAATCTAACAGATAATTGTAAGCAGATACATTGTAGCAAAATTTGAAGAATATTAATAGGTACAATGTAGCAAAATGTGAAGAAACACTGAAACATACTGATATGCTATGTTACCATGTATAATAATATTAGATCTTGAACTTTAATGGACTGCCACCTTGTTGTGTACTAGACTGGAAACTTTCTGGGCTTCTCAAGGCCCTTTCAGTGATGTCTAAAATGGTTATACTCTATTTACATTTTCTAAGTTACTGTTTTGGGTTACAGTATTTCTATAAGTTTGGTGCCAAGATGTTTGCAAATTAATGTTGCAGAGTATAGATGGAAAAAAGGTGCATTAATAATACTATATTACTGCACTTGTGTGTTGGAGTTGAATATACAAATGTTTATGAACATTTCAACATTCCTGACAAATTTTAAATGTTTTAATATTTTTTAATAAAAATGGAAATGTGTGCACATGCTTGAGCTATATATGATAGCTAAAAAAATTAACATAACTTTTATAATTTTCTATAATATTTTGTATAATTTAAAAAGAAAAATGGATGGAAAGGTAATTCTTGAACCGGAAAGAAATTAAAAAATAGAATGATGAGATGAAGGAGCAGAAATGCAGATTTGAGACCTACTATAGTTACAGTACTGTGTGTTTACTACTTGTTATTTCAATCTTTTAAAATACTGACTTTATAATTTGTTATACGTAATTTTCGTCATGGCAGCTGCTATGCACTGGGGACCGTGGAGTTGTAGTTTATGCGAGAAGCTTACAATCTGTCTGTGCTGGAATCAGGAAATTTTCAAGTCAAGGACGCAACAACCCTAATGAAGCCACACCTAAACCTGATGTTAAGGAAGTTGCAGCAGGTAAGGTCATTTACTTATAATACTACTACTACTACAAATACTACTATTAATAATAATAATAATAGAACTCAGAACATGTATAGTAATTCTACTGTATACTGTACTGTATTCAAAAAAGATTCTATGCAGTATAAAACTATTTTATAAGGCTTAAAGTTATCTTTTACCCAAAGACTAGCATTAAGTTGGCAGACTTAGAGTGGTGTCATCAGTACAGCACCTCGTAACACGTAACTAAATGGAGAAACAGTAGAAGATTGGGAGTATCTGAGGGGGCTCTTATTAATGGCTCCTTGGTGCTTGCTACCTGGCAAGCTCCATCCAATTCAGTCCATGCCAGGTCTTTGCCGTGTCATATAAGCCTACTGGGGACCAGCTGAGGGTCATTCACTGTCAAATCATCACAGCTCCGAACCTGATCACCTGAGATTTAGATGAAATTTAGTTGGATGTTGGAGTACATGAAGTAATATACATATGCAAAATTTTAATACAGTACTCAGTGATGCACGATACAGTATTCATACAGCAGGGTTGACAAATGTGATAAAAAAATTCGAAAGTTTTGCTTACAAGCTTTTCAATACTCAACTGCTACACATAATAGGCATAACTGGCCAGCCTCTCACCGTGTTCAAGAGAGAACTCGATAAACATCTCCAAAGGATAATTAATCAACCAGGAGGCCTGGTCGGAGACTGTGCTGTGGAACGTTGATCCTCAGAACATCCACACGGTAGCCACAAGATAGGTAGATAGGTATGCTAAACAAAAAACAAAAAAATTATTACTTTGCTTCTAACCTTCATATTGTACTCATTTCGAACCTAACGAAGCATTGTTATAGTTGAAAATAGTTTTTCATTAACTATTGAATTTTTACATTTCAGAATCACATGATATGGAATTTGACCTTGAATATACAGTATAAAAAGCATATCTTCGCTTTTTTTTTGTAAATGTATGTCATACAGTTAAATATATTCTCTCTTTGGTATACGTTTCATTTTAGGATGGCTTTGGGAACAGGATTAAATTAAAATTATAAACTTGGTGTGTAGCAGTTAAACACTTCTTGCACCAAACAGGCATCAGGCAAGTTCAGACTTGATTGATAGTATCTATCTGTGTACTTCTCAGCAGGGTTGCCTATTTAGCTCTTTTGGAGCTGAATTTAGTTTTTTTGGGGTTCAATTATCCACAGATTGAAAAGTCCACTTTTTTGTGATAATTTGGCATGGACTGACCCATTACCATCATATAGATACTGTAGTAACATTACCAAAAGAAGGCTGTGTTAATGTTACCATCATCTTGATGGTGACATTGTGAAAGGAAGCTCGAGGTAATGTTAACATTATCTACATTTACAGAGCCACTCAACACATGGTTAGATATTAAAGCTGGAATATTTGGGCCAAGCGACCAGCGTCTTCCTCTCCCTGGCAATATTGGGCTGTGTCAGAAGTTGGAGATGAGTGAGCAGCGTCCCCTAATATACCAGAGGCATAGCCACTGGAAAATATCTCCAGATATTCTCACTCGTAAGACTAATCATGAACACCAGATGCAGGTAAATGTGTGAATGAATGCCATTATCATCATCTTCATGACTTATTATATATTTTTTACTTGTTGCTAATTACAAATTAAATTGAGTAGATTCCTGGTTTTATATATGATTGCTTCTCTCATGGATCTGTTTAAAACTGATTGTTTTAATATTTTGCTAAAGCTATGATGGGGAAATCTATGCATTGCAGGATTTAGACTTCTATTAAATGCAGAATTTAAATGTTGCTCATTTAAATGAGCAACTGTTGTCAGATGTATCCTGGGAAAGGTCAGCAGTTGAGCTATGGGGGACATCAATATGCCTGAGTACAGATCTCCTGTCCCTAACAATGGATATTTGCAAAATTGGCAAATATAAGTCAGTGCCTAAGGAGCACTTATTATGAGCTGCCGATAATATTGTTTGTTTCTTTACAGGCACTTGGCCAGTGTAGTCCTAGTGAAGTTAAAAATGTCATTGAAGAACACATACATAGAAATAACCCATCGATGCCTAATCCATCAGATATCTTAGAGTGCAAGGCCCAGCAGTGTCCTGATCTGGTCAAAAAAGGTATCTAATGCTTAGAGCTATTACATTGTTTATGTCCTTGTGTAATGTTGTAATATGGAGTAAATCTGTAGTCTTTGGTTGCAGAAGCTATATTGTGAGATGGATTTTATAGTTTAATGTAATATTATATTATATGGTAAGCAGTCCCTGAGGCGCAGTGGTAAGACACTTGCCCGGTGCTTCGCGAGCGCTTTGGCCTTGGTTCGTATCCTGGCCGGGGAGGATTGACTGGGTGCCAATCTTTAACTGTAGCCTCTATTCACCCAGCAGTGAATGGATACCTGGTTGTTAAATGATTTGGCAGGTCGTATTCCGGGAAAAATTAAGATTAAGGACCTGCCCGAAACAATATGCATGCTGGTGGTTTTACAAGAATGTAAGAACTCTTGTACGTACTGTATATATAAATAAATAAAAAATTAATAAAAATACATACTGGTATGTTAAATAATTAAATTGGCTTAGTGCCTTCGCCTTCTAATTACTGTACCTACATATTTATTACGTCTACCGTGTCTTTTTAATTAATCAATACAGTACCTGTACTTCTGTTTTTTATTTATTTCACTTACATTTTTTCATACCTGTGTCCATATCTTATAATTTGTCATTCTACTTCCTTTCGTATAAACTGTTTCTTCTTATTAATTCCTAGCTCATTAACTGTTTAATAATTGTAAACAAAGACACCAAAAATTGCGAAACGATGTACAGGTTCGTAAGTGCTTGCATAACTGCTTTGTGAATCTGGCCCCAGCTTCCCCTCCTCCACCTGACCCATCTCTTTGCCCTCATTTTTTTTCTTTATAAGCACTAGCCCTGTGTATCTGTTAAATTTGATAAAGCCCAATAGACAAACAGTTAACAGTACTTACAAATTGTCTAATCTTGAATTGATTCTCCACATTTTTGTCAGCATTGTATTCTACAATATCTGTTCTTATAATGAATGGTATTTCTGTTTAGGGACTGTTTTGTGTTATATACAGACCAGAGCCTGTGCATTGTATAAGTGTTTACCTTGACATAGTGGAGGGGTTCCTACAAGCTGAGTGAGAAGTTCTGAACTGGCAACTTTTAATTAAGAGGAATTTTGTTGTAAATTTGGCTAATTGCACAGTTGGCTACCTCAGCACATGAAACAAATTGGTTATAATTTCCCATACTGTATTTGTATTAATCTTTCAGATTTTCTTGATTTGTTCCCTGGGCGTAACTTGAAGGATGGACCCCTGGCTGTAGTGACTTTAAGCCAAAAAACTCAAAATGATATGAGTAGCTGGTCTGAAGATATGGAGCTGGAGCGAGAGGAGCTTATTGATTATGTAATGAATGCTAATGTTTCAACTTCAATTGTTTTGTGTGTAGATGAATATATATACTGTAGTGTTCATGGCTTCATACCTTCTTTGATACTTAGGTTCTATAATATACTGTACTGTGTGTAGTTAAATTATTGTATTCAAATGAATGCAAGTGTAAATTAGGTCCTATAATATACTGTACTGTGTGTAGTTAAATTATTGCATTGAAATGAATGCAAGTGTAAATTGGCTGTAGTTATTTTTTTTATACTATACTTATTTTTACAGTTTATTCTTGCTGCTGAAGATATATGCAGTAGCTTACAAGCAGAAGGATATTGGGCAGATTTTATTGACCCCACATCTGGGCGACCTTACCTTGGAGCGTTCACTAATGCTACATTATTTGAGGTTGATGAACGTTATCGGTACTTAGGCTTTCTCATTGAAGATTTGGGATGCTGCAAAATTATTTCTCACCGACTCTGGGGCACTTACGTATTTGTTGGTGAGTTCCGACTATTTCTAAATATACTATTTTGCTTTCCTCTTGCAACATCTCTGTGTACCACAATTATTACTCAAATTCACTGATAAACATGACTTGAAGGGTTCAGATTAGCGTCTTTTCTTCATGTAATTATTAATTACTTGCTGAGAATTTCTAGAGAAAAATTGCACAGTACTATTTGTAGGTATTTGTGATTTGATAAATTTCTGCACTATGCTCTTTAGGGGGTACATACTAGTGATAGGATTAAATGTTGCAAAATACTGTTTAAGGGTACTGTTGATAGGATTAAATACTGCACAGAACTATATAAGGGTATTATTGGCAGAATTAACTGCTGTAGAGTTCTGTTTAAGAACATTTGTAGTAGGATTGTTAACTCACTGATGAACTACAGTACTGTATTTGAATAATATGTTTCCTTCACAGGGGCCATCTTCACCAATGCTCCTGTAAACTCGGATGCCTTACAGCAAGCCCTTGGCAAACATCAGAAGGATCAAACATCGAGCTAAAACCAGTACTGTATATAGAGAGCTCATTCTGCTTTCTATATGTACAGTATACTGTATATAGGACTAGTGTTGTATAGATATTACAAAAAAAAAAAGGCAGTCCAGTACTAGGTACATATGTGATACACACAGTAGTGTTTACATGTTATTATGTCAGTATGAAATACTTTGGCTACATTTTTTTTCATAGGCTGTCATCTCAAGATCTATTTGTTAGCTGGTTTACCGAAATACACAGTGCATTTAATACAAATTTTTCTTTGCATTTAATACAAATTTTTTCTTTGTGTAAAATTTATTGTCAGGCAAGGAGAAATGTGAAGCATTTACATCAATTGTATTTATATTTGGATACTTAATAATAATTACATTCTAAAAACTCAAATAAGTTTTATTGTAATATCAATGTACTTAATGTAATTCATAGAATATAAAGCATTGCATAAAATATTAGATTTCTTAAGTCACTCAGTTAAGCAGCAGAGGTAAATACCTGGAGTCTCCCAACTATAAATGGGTTATTTTTTAAAAATGTTTTCATAAAGCAGTTATTCAGAATGTGGAACGAGACTTCTCATAGGTGCAATGGTATAAATGGGGGGAGAATGTGTTTCTGAACAACCAAAAATCATCACAAAACCAATACAGGTATTATATTTACCAATATTAAAAAACACAGCATGTTATTTACCTTGAATGATGTAGTTCTCCTGCTTGTCAAAACTGGCTGGTTTTGAGGAGAGAAGAGGAGGCTCCTCTTCTCCTTGTCCTCTCCTCTCCTCCTCCTCCTCTTTTGAGGAGAGAAGAGGAGAGAAGACTGGAGGAGGCAGCAGTAGGTGGTGATGTGGGGGCAGTGAAGGTTGGCAGGTCACCTTTAGTGTCACTGGCTGCACTGGCATCACCCACATGAGCAACATGTGGGTGATGATGCCTGGCTGGCAAACATGGGGTGGGTCATCGTCAGTATCATAAGCTGCCGTAGAAATTGATGTTCTGGGTTGGTCATTTTGTTGAAGATCGTTAGGGCTATTGATAGTGACTCTTTGAGAGGTGACTGCTAGGCTGGAGACTTTTTCAGGAAATATGCTCTCGTTATACTGTACAAATATCTTCTTTTTTCAAAGTAAATTTGCGGGTAGGGTGCAGTGATATTTAAAAAAATGTTTAGTTTTCTCCCGACATCATTGCTTTGCTCTTCAAATATTGCCAGTGCATCATATATCAGCTTAAGTGCCTCTTCCATTTTCTTGACTGAATTATCTTCCTGGGGGGTGTTTGGACCACCACCTCTGGAACCACTTCATCTGCAATCTTTGTTTGCCTCAAACTCCATAAGATTCTTTTTTATCATTTTTTTAATCATCACTAAATACTGTTATCTAATAAAAGGAACCAAAACTGTCATATTAAACATAAAATTAATGGCATTAGCAACTTATGCTAACCATGTTAGTTTTGGTTAATTTTATGAGGCAGCATTGCTATGGAGTATTTCTCATAATTATTTTCCATTTTCAAGAGGTCTGGAGGCATCAGAAGGATGGCCTTGCAGTCCCCATGCCGCAGTGGTAATATACTCTCTGCACTTCGTGAGCGATTTATCTCGGGTTCATATCCTGGATTGGGAGGATTGGCTAGGCTCCAATCCTAGCCAATCTCATCTCTGTAAGCCTCTGGTCACCTAGCAGTGAATGGGTGCCTGGTTAAACGATTTGGCGAGTTGTATTGCAAGGAAAATTAAGATTAAGGTTCTGCTTGAAACGCTTTGCGTGCTAGTGGCTTTTACAAGAATTTAAGAACTCTTGTATATATAAATAAAATAAAAATAAAACAGAAAATAAAAAAAGGTTTAAGTAGTCAGAGTTAAAACAATCCACTCGTCCACAATTCATTTTACCATTTAGCCTCAGATCCTGTCATTGTTTTGATGTGGTGAAGGGCTCATGTACTTTGACACAAAAGGCAGTTTGAAGTGACTCATAAAACTCATCTGGGCTAAGGTGAGGGGGTCAAAAAAAAAAAAAAAAAAAGAGACAACTTGGTCGGCTTGTTTGGCATCTATAGAGACTTATACAAATGTCTTTCAATTTTCACATTGGTTATGTTGTTTCGAAAACCATGCCCAAAAAATCTGCACAAATGAAACTTGAAGATACTGTACATGGAAAAATTTGGGTTATATTATTCAAGAGCATTCCAAAAGTCAATTTTATTCTACTTTTTGCTCAACAAAACACCAAATTTATCTTTATTTAATGCTCCTTTTACTTACCAACAGCAAATACAACACACATTAAAGCTAAGAATGCTTGAGATGTGCATTGTTACAAAAATATAACCCAAAGGTTGTGTAGTAACCTGACTAGCTGATGAGAAAGTGGTAGACACAAGGATTATTATGAATTATCCTCACTAATCTATGTTAATCAGTTCTTAAGCAATGTACTTCTAAAATTCTCCTGCTCACTTCCAAATTTAGTGTAAAAGTGCTTACCTGTGTAATCCAATACTGTGCAAATATTGAGCTACCTGTGTATTCCAAGTTTCCCTTCATCTGGGAGTGAAATTTCATCTGGAAGTCTGAGCAGAGGCTGTAACTCTTGGGAGTAACATGATTCTCTGGTGAGGGATAAGGTTAAATTGGAAGTTAAGTGCAAATTGACTGGTCTATTTTAAAGCAGACATTGAGGGGTAGGTAGTCCTCTTACCATTTAGCCTCAGATCCTGTCGGTTTGCTGTCAGACTCCTTGATGATATGCGTATACTATCCCTGGAATGCTTGATTTATATTTGCCCTTGTCTCCTAATTGGGCAATGTAGTGGGTGGGGAGGCACGGATGTTAAGACTTCATCTGTGTTTTTATGCTTGTGTCTTCACCCCTGAAGACTTGTGTGATGAGCAATCAGGCCTACAAGTCTTCTCCATTTGGATAATCTGATTCTCCAGTTTACTGGGTGGAATTTGCAGGTAGTCCTACCGGCTCCCTAGGTAGTCCTCGGTAGATAGCCGAGCAGACAGCACGCTGGACTTGTGATCCTGTGGTCCCGGGTTCGATCCCGGGCACCGGCGAGAAACAATGGGCAGAGTTTCTTTCGCCTTATGCCCCTGTTACCTAGCAGTAAAATAGGTACCCGAGTGCTAGTCAGCTGTCACGGGCTGTTTCCTGGGGGTGGAGGCCTGGTCGAGGACTGGGCCACGGAGACACTAAAGCCCCGAAATCATCTCAAGATAACCTCAAGATAGCTGTTGCTATCCATGCACTCTGACATTTGCTCAGACTTTGCAATCTGTAGCCAGCTCAGGGACTGCCATAGTGGTCTATCCCTTGGCTTTCAGGAATTTTCTGTTTCCAAGGTTATCCCCTTTGTGCATTTCACATTCCTTTCCTTGAACTCTCTATTGATGCATCCGGCATAGAATAATAATGAGTGCTATCTACTGCTTCAGACATGTTTGAAAAGAGTAAATCTGTCAAACATGATTGTACTGTACTTTGTAAAGCCATGTTGTGGCTTGTTTATTAATCTGTATTTCATGATGAATATGAATGAACTGTGACATTAGCACTTAAAATTATCTTCCAACACTTGTGTGTAAGTAATTGGATGATAAATGTCATTTGTGTATCCCCCCTTTTAATAACTGAGACTACATTGGGACTACTGAGACCTTTACAATTCTGGAACAGTGCTCAACTCTAGTTATTTTTTGAATAAAATATGGGTTGACTAGGCAACTCACATTATTTTGACCCCTGCAAAATACTTTGGCTAAGGGTTTTGCTTCAGTTGATATATTTACTTAAACACAATAATGAAAATTAGGCTGCAGTCTATGACAATTTGTTGTTGCAGATGTGAACTGTAGTAAAAAAAAAAACCTATATGAAATTCAACATTAGTCGAGTTACATAAAACTTTTTTTACTACAGGGATTTATTACTGCAGTTTAGTTTATTTTATTGGAAAATGTATTATGAAATGATGTTGGCTATTGATTATGCACAGGGAAGGTAATGGAATCTACAAATTTGTATAAAACGTTTCATTCAAATTATGAATCAAATCAGCCTTATAATATATGTATAATACACAAATCAAACATTTTGTCATTTTATTACAAAAAATATATATATAAATTCTCTGTAGTTAACTTTGAAGTCAGATAATCAATGTTGGGAGAATGTAAGCATTGAAAATTTCAATAGTAATATATTGCTGCTAAATACTATGGAAGCATTTTGTTATCCAGGAGCATAGATGTGCTGTTTATGCTCTCTGTGTATGAAGCAGCAGCACTGTAGGCTGTTATTTGCTACTGTAGTAAGGCACAGTATTTTGAGTCTCAATATTTTTGCAGTACAAAAGCTGTAGTATCAGTGGCTTTTTGCTCCTGAGAGTCATGCAATTAAATGTGTGGGAATCAGCTTTTGGTAGAAGCTTTTAGTTTGTATGCTCTTGGAAAAATGAATGAATATTAAATATGGGGAAAACCTTAATGGATGTACAGTGCACATGTTGCACTGCCATAGTGGTCTGAGCACTGTTGATTTGGGCATGCATGTATGTGTGCGTATTTGTTTTATGTGTGTGTATGTGAGGAAAAGAAACAAATGTAATCTTTTGGATTTAGACTTATTAAAATGGACAGCTAATTGATCCCTGAGAAGCAGAGTAATGCACTAAGCATTAAATTAAGGTATGCATTGGACATGAGGTGGGCTAGAGTGGTTGAGACAACGTAATTCTTCTGGTGTTAAACCCCAGCGGGCAACGTGACTAATGCTCTTCAAGAATGGTAGAAATGACAACACTTTCAGAGAGGCAAGAGTGAGGAAAGGAGATGATGCTGAAAAGGACTGAACAGAACTGATCATTCCTGAAGTCACTAGGTGTTTTATATGTATGTCAGTGAGGTCATTTCCCTCCCAGTCAGAAGCTATGTGGTCAAAGCTTAAATTGACTAAATTTGAGCTTGCCGTGAGGAGTTGCATTGTGCATTTGGGGGGAAGAAACTGGAGAGAGAGATTTTCCAGATGAGGAAATGGTTTTTGAGGGCAAGTTTGTGGGTTTGATATCCACGAGTTGTGCAGTTCCAATGATTTTAATACTGGTAACTGGGAGAGTTCATGTAGAACTTTGCCATTTATGTTAAAGCCAGTGAGGCTTAGATATTGTATTTGTGGTTTAAAGTACATGATGATAGGAAGGATTTCTCTTCCATTTATTTTTGGAATGGATGAAGATAATGGTGGGTAATAGGCAAGCTCAATATGGGTTAATTGTTTGCATGTGGTTAGTGCACTCAGGGTCTCCATGCAGTTGAGCTCAACAATTAGTGATATTTTCTCTACAGCTGGGCAGACTTGACTCATTTCTGAGATTTCATTTACAGTGGCATGGCCCATGTTTATTCTTTCTAGTTTTAGAGTTGGTAGATTGTGAATAGAGTTGCCATTATTGATATATTGGAAAACCCTTGCATAACTGTGAACACACTGAATGATATTTATGTGTGGATTGTAGTATTGCAAGTTGGGAAATATAAACAGGATTGCATGGTACACCAGGCTATGTATATAACGGAGAGAAATAGAAAGTCTACACAAAGATTTTCTAAGAGGGCACAATTTGTTGTCCCAGAAATTGCCACAAGCAGCAGCCTTAAACACATCACGAGCTGTACACAGTGATAACCCACAAAGCCCTTTAATAATGTCTTCCTCTTTTGCTGTACAGCTTGTAATATCCAGTTCTTGGAGGGGTAGTTGTGAGAGGAGGCTTAATGTCTTATCATCACATACATTAGAGTTTAAAGTGAGACTTACTAATGAAGTTTTTTGAAGAATATCTTTGAATACATCAAAGCTTTCAGTTTTAACTTGTGCATTAAGGTTGAATCTCATTTTTGGTAAAGTTAATTTATTCACTTGTTCCAAGGGTAGGTATTTGTGCATAAAATTCAGTATATAGTCAAAGTTTTCTACTGCTATATCTGATATATTTAAGGGGAACTTCTTATTTGAAATATTTGCAGCAATTAAGAGCAAAACAGGAGCTCTTCTGGTCCAGTTAGCTAGTTGGTAATTAAAGATGTAATTTTCATTGCTTCGGGCAACAAGTTTTTCTTGGCACCTAATGATCATTTGCTCTGAGACAATTCTCCAGGCAGAGGTCAATATTTGATCAATCAGTAGAGGTGGCAAGATTGATTTAAGGTATGTTGAGCAGTGTTTTATGTTCCCTTTTAATGTGTTGTTGTGGAGCTTTTGAGGAATGGCACTTGGATAATATACTTGGTTCAAATTCTCAGTCTTTGTTACTTTTTCACTACACTGTTTTGTAACTTTAGGTACACTACTACTGACAAATTTCATTACTATAGTGCCCAAGTTCTGTATGTGCACTTTTGTTAGCGAATGAACCTGATCTTCAACAATATTAGAGTCAGTAGTTTGAGTATCATATTTCAAGACAGAATTTTTGCTGCAGCATCTTCCATTGGTTTCACTTATACATGACCTGGTAATTTTCTCTGTATTTTCCTTCCTTTTGTGACACTGTTCAGGTAGATTTTGATTAAGTCTGTCCGAGGAGGGAGACGAGATCACGTGCGTCTCTAGAAATGCCGCCTGAGCGGCAACCTCACCCAAGGTGCCCGACCACTGAATGAGCCAGGCAATGGCAGCTGCCTCACACACCTGTTGCAGTGATGGTGGGGAGGTTACTGTAGCCATCACTGCACCTGTAGGAACAACTAAATGTTATATCACACTTCAGAAAATATTTTTCATTTCAAACCTAGTAGGAAATCAAACGGCTTTTACTTACTACAGTATTGGCAAAGAAAGGTTTTAGACGTTTGATCATTGTCAGCTTAACTAACATGGATATTGAAAGTATGGAAAGTTTAAAAAATGATGAAGCTGTACGATTCAATGAAATCCGTGCCCCTGAATTCAGGCACACACACTGCTGAATGAACAATGATTGGCTTCAATGTGCAGTACCTCATCATTGCCCACCCAGTAGTGTGCCTGAAGAGTTTACGGATGCAGGTTTGATCCTATCATACTGTTTCAATGTTTTCTCACAGATATATCACGTAATTTAATTGTGCATGGAAAATATTACTGTGAGCTTATGTGGAAGGGTATTCTCATTAGATGCAAGAAGAAACTGTTATCAATGGTTATTGCATTTACATCTATACCTGTTGAAAGGCATATACAAGTAGGGAAGTGTTTCATAGGGTACCCCATTGTTAAGTTCTCATTCACCAGCTGTACAGCTGATGGTCTATAAGAAGACACTAAGCATGGATTTGTTGGTATGAATCACGCATGCATGTGAAGTCGAGACAAACTGTTGTGAATAATTAAGCTAATTTTTAAATTATGTACTATTGCATATACTGCAGCAGTCTAAATTATAAATGATTTCTGGGAATTACACAGTGTATTGGCATGGCATTCATTAGTGTAGTTTCTATGATGAGCAGGATGGTTGTGCTGTGAGTGTTAAATGCAGATAAAGTATTACAAAATAGCTGGCGGGTAAGGTTTACCCATGTTGTTGAATAAGTATAGCTATTTTATGTATATTTTTCAACAGACTGCAATGAAATATTATTTGTATTTAGATTGGTTTTAATAGGTTTTAGTAAATTAATATAGTTCCTCCTGACATAAATTATATCCTGTTCTATATTTCAGTATATGACAACCAGAAAGACTGTTTAAATAGTAAAGCATATTTAGACATTAAATTGGCAATGTATTTTTCATAGTACAGTACCATACTAGTACAGTACTGCATAGGATTATATTAGAAGAAACTTTTCACCACCTAGTGAATTCAAGCAGTGGATATATAAGACACACTTGGCCCTGTAGTACAGTGATCTACATCCTTGAATCATAATTGACAATTCTGTGTTCATTTTCTGGGCGGGACAAATGGTTGGGCATGTTTTTTTTTTTCACTTTCTTGCCTAATAGCTTTTTTCACCTAGTTGTAAATAAGTATCCATGAGTTAGGTAACTGTAGGGAATTGCATCCTGGAAAAGGTCAGTAGTTAACCTAAGTTGACCTCAATTTAAAGCCTAAATACAGGATTCCTGTCTCTGACAATAGGAATTAAACCAACACTGAATTAATGCTCGAAAGCTAATTGAAAAGCATCTAGAATTCAAATGGAAATTATACTGCCAGCATTCTAAGCACAAATCACTTTGTGATGATTAGTAAGTCTTTGTATAACGGCATCTCTAAAGAGCATAAAGCAGCATTCTAAAGCTTATAAAGTTGAATAAACAGTGCTCATGAATCGATTTTAAAGATACTGGTATTTTTGTGTGTGTGTGCCGCTGCAAAATCCAGATCTGTTGGGGGAATTCTGTTTTCTGCAAGTTTTCTGCTGTCCTGAAATGCAACTGACAGCTCTAGAAGAACATATGAAGAAACCTGAAAAATAGTTATCAAAATTAAAGCAAGTTTTGGAAAGTTTTAGTTCAAGACAGTGGGAATGGTTTTTGACAAGAGACTTGTTGAAATTCAAGTAAAGTTGGTAATCTCATTTGAATTGTGCCATAGTTTAGCTACATATATTTATTATTTTTTATTTTTTACTTTTAGAGATTAATATTAATGAACTTTGGTTTTTGACATTTTAAATGACAATGTGAACCTGCCACAGTGTCTTCATACAAGACTACTTCAGACAAAAAAAAAGAGGATTACTTGGAATTTATCTCTAGAAAGGATGCCTTAAATTCAAGTGAATTAGATTAAATAATAAAGATTTATACAAGCCAATATATTTACTGTACAAAAATTGAGTACAAAATTTATGTGATTTAAAATGAGAATGAAGAAAACGTTTTAGCAAGTTGTCAAAAAATGTTTTGACTGATAAAAATATATTTTTCAGATATAATAAATACATTTGATTTAAAAGTGCTCCTCCTCCAGTGAAGAATGGAAGATTGTAGGAAATGTTGGATTTTAGGTATATCCTCATATATATGCAGCTACCCCTGACTATATGAAAGGTTAGTTTGTGTCAAGAGCTATGACATGTGAGACTATGTGAGACTAACAAAAACCCCAACTCGTACTAGAATGGCCATAGCAATCCAACACCAATCATGGAGGCGTGGGACCTCCTACTCTAATGGTCATTGTCCCCTTACTTGGCAACCTCCGTTTTCTTTGTGCTTAAACTGGGATATTACATCATCCTTTTGCGAGTATTGCTTATAAAGTGTCGACTATTTTGGTATTGTAAATAACACTGATAAGCGAATGATACTCTACTACTACTGATAATAATAATACAGAAATCCTTTCATTAAGACAAATGCAAACATTGCAAAAGTTGTTTGTAACTCTGGACAATTTAAACACCGGACTTGACTGTAGTCGCCTCAGCTGCAAACATCTCCTTCCCTTCTTTCCTATTGTCACCCTTCTACTACCATCACAACAACAGCCTTCACGACGTAACCATCACCACCAGGATTAATTAACCTAAGCTTCACAACCGCTCTCATCTACATTGCCTATAGTACTTACACCTAAATCCCTCACCGACTTATAAGCGCTGAGTGACCCATTAATGAGCTCAGTTCTTGGTCAAGGGCATTTATTTATAGGCACGACCATCAAAAGTAACAACTTATGTATTAAAGGCATCATATCCTCACCACAAAGGTCTGCCACCTCTATACAGTACTGTCCTCCTGCCTTCCACATCAGCACAAACTACCACCTGTACCACCATCACATCCTCCTATCACCACCTGCACTACCACCCTCCATGCACCACCTGTGCCACCATCTGTCCCACCGCCCTCACGCACCACCTGACTCTTGCCACCTGTGTCACCAGCTGTCCCACCAGCTGCTGCTAGTACAGTTGCCAAGATGTGGATGCCTTTGGTCACACAGGATTCCTGGTATGTTGTGGTGAATATTTCCTGTTCTGGGTTTGTTTTAAAACGCAGGCATTGTTTTTGATGCGAACGAGATAGATATGGATATATGTACGTGTATATACAGAGTGTATATACACGTACATATATCCATATCTATCGTCCCCTTGCTTTCACATACAGTTATGAGGTGGAGAAGTTACGATTTGGGGGGTCAAGGTTAAGATGACTTTTTAAACCAAACTATATCAGTATTTGTTAGGTAATAGATCAAGAAGAAAGTAAAATGATCCACAGTGAACATTTAAAACCACGAAGGTGTCAGGATTTTTAACTAGCAATGGTTAAACCTTCGGGCAATTAACGTGTCCCGTTCACAGGTGTGGATGAACGGTTTTGGGCCAAAAAAATGCGTAATGCGCATGAGGATTTATATATACATAATCGATTAATCAGCATGGACAGTCTTGCAGGAAGCAAGCCAGCTGGTGTATGACGCAAATTCTTGACGCAAGCAACCGTGTTTGTAAACAAATATTAAGGGCCTTGTGATATACCCGTAAATGTTTTTTTTTTCGATAATTGAATATTCAACGCTAGAAAATGGAAGCGGCTGGCGAAAGTGACGCGTACTGTCCCGTTCTCTGTTTTGGGTCCTCTGGCAGGTTAGGACACTTTATATTGAATGTTTTCTTGACGTTGGAAAGCCTTAGGAGGACGGGCTAGAGGAATAACCCTACCACCCGGCGTATATTTTAACGATAAATATATGGAAAATCGTCATAAATATCTAAGATTTGTTATTTAATATTTCTCCTATTTGTTCATCTTTCGTTAGCTCCCTCTTCCATCCCTATTTGATCTGCCTCTAAACATGTCTTACACCCCCTCAAAATTTATTAAACCTTTCTTCCGCCTCATTCTTTCTCCCCTTCCCCACCAAACCAAATGCGACACAGTGTTGACCAGGTGAGACACAGGGATGACCAGTATTGACTCTAGGGGTGGCCAAGTGCGACACTAGGTGGCCAAGTGCGACACTAGGTGGCCAAGTGCGACAGAGGTCACTAATTAGTGGTTCAGGGTGACACATGGTTAACCACTTAGCCCTTAGTTAACAGGCTTTAAAATTAGTCCCTGGTGGTGTGGTAGCACGCACGCTCCACTCTTCCCCAGTGGTTTTGTCTGGGTTCGATGACTAATGAAGATTAAGCCACCCAAAAGGTAGCACGGGCATGAATAGCCCGTAAGTGGTGGCCCTTTTGAGCCATTACCAGTATCAATAGACGATACTGGATATCTGTTGAGGTGCGACTGCACCCTGCGTGACGGGAGATGCCTCCCGTGTGGGTTCGATGCCTGGGCTGCAATCCTTAACTGCCGTCGTTCACCCAGCAGTAATTGGGGACCTTGGTCGTTAACCAATTAGCGGATCGTGTTCCAGGGATAACTAGGGATAAGGCTAATGATTCCAGGGATAAGGCTTAAGATGAGCTATGGAAAGGGAAAGCTCTCAGCCTGCTAACAGGTGTCTCAGGTTCGTCTACTCCGATACTAAACAAAAGTGTCAAATATTTACCTGAATTTACCCGAGGGTCACTATTTCTCTAGTGGCTTCGACGAGGACAGGAAGTCGGCAGCTTGTCTAAGATCCTCCCTATTTGTCCTGATGATTTTTTTCAAGATGGCATTTACAGTTCAGCAGTGTTTTGACATTTACGGCTTCGGCGGGTAGGCGGTTTCACGGGCTTATAGCCCTGTGGGTGAAAAAAAGCAACTCCTGTTTTCAATCCTACACTGTGGCTTGTTGAGGCTGAAACCGTCGCCCCTTGTTTGTGTTACTTCAGACATTTAGAAGAAATTTTCAGTATTTTAAAAGTTTCGATCAGATCAGCCCTGTCATGTCTGATTTGCAGTGTTGTTATAACTGGGTTACCTGTTTACTGCTAGGTGAACAGTTCATTAGGTGATAAGAAACGCACACAATCATTTCTGTTCCGTCCGGCATATACAGAGAGGTGGGTATTCGGCTGCAGCACGCTACGGGCTCACCATAGCCCGTGCTACATGGACACTTCGTTCTGAGTAGCTAAATATGAAACAACAACAACGTGCTGCAGCACAGTTACAGCCCCGCTCCTGTGCCAGGTAAGTCCACTATGGGCTCGCCATAGCCCGTGCTGCTCTGAACTTAAGTTTCGAGCAACTGAAGCTAAAACAACAAAGCGCTGCAGCACAGTTAAGCTACGGTATTAAGCTCATTACCACAGTCCTTTATAACTATCAATCTTGGATGTTTTCTCGTTTTCAGTTCGATCGGAGGTTTGTTGGCTAACTATATTAATTGAATATATATTTTTAAGATTTCTCTACATTGTCGGATTGAAAATATTTATATATATACTTGCATATTACTTGTCTAACTACCGCTGAACTAAACGGGCGACTCGTCTGTTAAGTTGCATAGTAACCTGTTCCATAAATCTAACACTATTTCCAAGCCAGCATTTTCCCAAATCTTTTCTGAATATGAATTTATCCAATACATATCCTTTGTTTCGTACTCTTGTTTTTGTTTATTTAGTAACTTATTAATAGTCTCGTTATAGCCTTTCAGCCATTTGTATATTAAAAACATGTCTTACATGCATTTTGATTTTCTACAGAAAGTATTTTAAGTTTTCGAATCTTTTCATATAGAAGGTTCCTAATGTATGGGATAAATTTCCTCAGAGTAATTTTTTGTTGTGCCTCCACCGGCAATAGTCATTATCTATGTGTTTTCCTGAGAATTTATATATATCCTATAGCACGGTACCCAAAACTGAACTATATAATTTCAAATCGGGTCAAAACAACACCATTTGTGATATATTCGCTCGCTCCTCTTATATATGAGGAAATGTATATGTTTATCTCTCAGAATGTTTGGTAATATGTTTATTGTTTTTGATGTGTGTCTATGTATGTATTAACACGATTTACTGAACGGGGTGAGAATAGCTTGAGCTACCTCATCCCTTTGTGTATTTTACCTCAATAAACTTATTTCATTTCAATTTCAATTCTTATATATATATGGCTTCCGCATACATGACCCTGGAGCTGTGTTCACGGACACGGTTTTACCAGGGACCCTTATATACCCTTAAGCATTTCCACAGACACGCCTCTGAAACAGAGCCAAAGACACGTTTCTGAAACAGCATCAAATACACTCTTACAGCAAAGAAATAAGACCCCCCCCTCCTGATACAGTGGCATAGACCCTCTGAAACAGGCCCGTTAGACTCATTAACCCAAGAGATTTAACAACATTTGGGTGCGCTACAGCCACGCCCCTGAAGCAGATCAGTTACGACCCTGAAGCAACGCCATGTTGGTAGAAATAACAGCCTTCACTAAAGATGATTCAGACTGCAGCCTTGGTGCTAATCTTGGTGTCAGTGCTTAACTGTCCCGCCGCGATGTACGCTCACCTTGATGCCTAACCTTTCATACTGATTTGTGCACACCCGCACTCACGAATATTCCTTTCTGTGCGTGCAAGCAATTTGCGCATCTGTAAATGCTTCAAAACGTAAACAAATGCCTCGTGTAGAAGATATGATAGCATAACGTGTCATATGCTCTCTCGTCATGCTGTTAAATAGCTCAGAATATTGCCGAATCTCAGTGTTGAAAACAAATGATTTACAAAAATTATATAAAAAAAAATAACATTCCACTTAGCGTCTAAACAACGCTCAAAGCTACACTATCAATGTCTTACCTTAGATGTTCACACACAAGCGACACAACGTTTGAGAATCACCATAGTAAACATTCACAGTCCGTGTCATTCTCCGAATCAGGACGAGACGAGGCGTTCTATTCACCTTCAGTTAGTGGAGGAGGCAGCGGACGACACGTGCAGCTCCCCCGGCGGCCTACCTTCCACTGGCCAGCCATCACCATCACCCACCACGCCAGCTGCTCTTCACTTGTGAACGTCACAAGGTCACTAGGGGCGGCGGGAGATGCTGATAGCTAGATGCTGTAGAGGGGATGATGGCGGGAGATGGAGATGATGGAGAATGTATGTATGTATGTATGTATGTATGTATGTATGTATGTATGTATGTATGTATGTATGTATGTAACGGCTGTGTCTGTTTTGGGGATTGGAAATGAACCACTCTAAGTTCATGTAAGTTTATCGAGATAATAAGAGACATCCCAAAGAATGGATACAAGTAGCTTAGGCTATTTGTACCTTCCTCTGTTTCAGGTCCCTCAAGGGGCTCACAAATCAATGCAATACAGAAATTACAATATTTTATATTGCAATTTTATAGCTTCATTTAACATTTCCACGTGTAAAGGGATCCACATATGAATCTTACTTTAAAACTATGTTTCTTTGTTTTTTAACGTTCTCTCTATACTTGTTCATAATATGCGAGACTTGTCCAGAATATGCATAATAACATAATAATCTACTATTTGTTGATTCTAACGTGTCTCTATTATATATAAAATACACCCATCTTTACAACTCTTTTTTTTTTTCACGGGGGAGACATCTCCCGTCACGCAGGGTGCAGTCGCACCTCCACAGATCTCCAGTATCAGGTAATGATAATGGTAATGGCTCCAAAGGGCCACCACTTACGGGCTATTCATGCCCGTGTCACCTTTTGGGTGGCTTAATCTTCATCAATCAATCTTACAACTCTTAACCAGTCTTTAGGGAGGTGGTACCCTGGAGGTAATCACTTCAAAACCACTACGTAACTAGTGCTATTATCTGCTCTCTATGCTTTCAGACCATCAGATAACGGTTGTTTGAGTGAGCTTTGATGCCTCGTTCTAATTACTTTACCCTGAGAACGGTAACCGGCCTCCTTAATTACTTCTTTAAGGTCGCTAATACAGATTGGAGTTTAACCTGCAATGAAAAGATACTCTCAGAAGTCCAATAACACTTCACCCTGTGCTGATGTCAGTGTACTCCCTAATCAAGACCGCACATCCTAGGTACGGGTCCAACGTTGTCCTAGGTACGGGTCCAACGTTGCCCTAGGTACGGGTCCAACGTTGCCCTAGGTACGGGTCCAACGTTGTCCTAGGTACGGGTCCAACGTTGTCCTAGGTACGGGTCCAACGTTGTCCTAGGTACGGGTCCAACGTTGCCCTAGGTACGGGTCCAACGTTCTATCAAATCAAGACTGTCCTTGAACGATATTTTTCTTTTTATTCGGGTCCCCTCTTCATGCTTTCTAACCAAGATTTTATGTTCATTCCACTACCACCCACAGAATGGGTATGGGGCGCATAATAAATGAACAAAACTGAACTACATCAGTAGAATGACATGATATTAAATATAATAAATATATAATTTCAGTATCGGTGAATACATAAATAAGGAAAACTGGGATTCTGTCGACAAGCGTTCTTCATATCAGTCACTTGGAAACCGAGATAAGGATTATGTAAGTGATAAGGAAATCCCTATCAACAGTCAAATCTTACGATACATAGTAATGACATCATTAACAGTAGAACAAAGGAGCTTGTAATCCAAACATTATCTAATGAAAGGGATGAGTAGTTTGGCCTTGAAGGAATTTACACAAGTTTGCCCCTCATGCGTCAGTTTTCTCTTGCTAGAAATAGTATCCGGAATTAATAAAATAATAGTACTAATTATTATCAAACAAATAATAAGTAAAAGTATTATGATTTCATTATGCATTATTTAAAATGTTTAATTGGTCTTTAGGATGTAGATAACGTAAATGTTGTGTTTGTGCATGTATATTATATCAAGTTCTTTCTTTTCTCTTGGCCTTTAACTTTACTACCTCAGTAATTTTTATATGAATAGCCCGTGTTGGCTACTTGAAATATACGGGCTCTCCATAGCCCGTGTTACTTGGAACTTTTTGTTTCAAGTAGCAAATCTTTAACAACATACTTGTAATAGTAGTGTATTGCAATAGGTTAATAGTTTTATGGTGTATTTTTAGCATTAGAGTATTCCTATTGGGTGGTCGGTAAGTAATTATAGATTCCTTTAGTAACTATCCACAAGGCGATGAGCATTAACCCCAACACTAAACAGGATATATTCACATAAGAGGTATTCCCGGCTTCTGGTGTATAAATACTGAGGTTAATTTAGTTTTATACCATGTTCACGATTTAAATATACCTACTGGTTGGTCAGGAAACTATTGTTGTAGGTTTAATAACCCTCCAGAGATTGACAGGTCTTACAAGCTAATTAACATCAAACCAAAAGAATATACAAAGCGATAAGATAATCCCCCGAGGATAGAACAAGATTCTAGACTATGTTCAGGAGTAAAATATACTTGTTGAGGAGAAATAAACAATTAAGTCTGCCCTCATAACGCTCTAGAAGTTGATAGGCTTTTAGCTAAACATTAGACCAACAGAATATACACAGGAAGAGGTGCACCCCAACACCTCGGAGCATATACTCGGAAAGATTGATTTGACTGCTGCTACTGGAGGCGGTTAGCTTGTCCACCGTGGAACTGTGGTGGCCTTAAAGATCTTCCAAAGGTTGATAGTTCCTATGATCAATAACAAACCAAATCTTCTTATGCCTGTCTCTGTATCAAGTTGTCCAGACAATGGGCGACAAGGTAGGAGGTGCATAATAAATGAACTAAACTGACTAAAACTCAAAACTCTGTATCAATCTGTAACGCCGCAGGCGTCAAAATATATATGGCCCTTTGTCTACCTGTAGCCTGTCATCCGTAGTTAGTCCAATTTCTGTACCCTAGTCTTGTTTTTGTAACCCGTCAACTAAATCCAGCCCATCCAGTAGCCCGCCCACTGTCTGTCGTCGCGTGAAAATCATCGACTAACAATACATTAAACAATAACAAACAATTATGAAATCAAGGCATCAGAGAAAGGGCGCGCAAGTCGTCAGGGACGACAACAACAAAGAACGTTCAAGAGGACCAACGATAGCTCACTTGCCGTTACCTAAGTGGCCTTCATCACTGACACAAGGGCCCACTTCCTCATCTGGCGACACGTAGCCCTCCCTCGTAGTGGGATCCAAAACCTGTACCGGGTGTTAAACCTCTGACGTCATACACCCTAATGCATATAAAACATATATTTAAAACGTATATAAAAACATTTTATCTTTTTTTCTTTGTATTCAATTAGGTTAGTATAGAATAGGCTAAATTGGGTCAGGTTAGTTTAGGGTGGTTTGAGTTAGGTTTGTTTACAGAAAGTTTCAGTGACGTAGAAGTGCCCATAATTTGCTCAGGTGTTTTCTCCTCCGTGCTTGCTTACCTCCAACATTGACTGAGGTTACTGCTTCACGCGTTCAATTTTTATATAATCCTAAATATATGACTTAACGTATGTAGTTAGTGTTAAGGCAGACGACGAAAAAAATTATTTAAAACTGTTTGTATATCAAAAAGTGCAAGTGAAGGTTAAGATTTGAATAGTCTTTGACTCGGTTTCATGTGTTCGGGAACATTTTATATATATATAAACTTACGTGAATGGATTGGCGTATGCATCTAGTGTTACAACAGACGTTAATGAAAATAGTAAATAGTAAAATAGTAAAATAGTAAAATAGTAAGTCGACAGGTGAATGGGAAGCCTAATAAAGATTTGATGGTAATTTTTAATGTTTATTGGCGATAAAGTCCTTCACTGTCCTTGTTGTCTTTTAATATCTTTACTATCTCACTATATCTTACTGTCTCACCATCCTTGTCTCATAGTATCTCTCTTACTGCCTCTCAATATCTAATTTATTGTCTCAGCATCTCTTACCGTTTCTCAATATCTTTGTTATGTCTCAGTATCTCTTGTTGTCTCTCGTCTAATCTTATACTGTCTCTCACCATCTTTGTTGTCTATCTGTATCTCTTACTGTCTCAGCATTGCCGAAATCTTTCAAAAGTCTTAGCTGTCTTTTGAGCTGTTCAAGAAGCATATAACGGTTTCTTTGTCTCAGTTGAATTTATGTATCTCACTACCTGTTTTTATGAGCGTTCAGGCTACGTGTGTCGCGATGTGCGTGTCAATAGATGATGTGAGCAGACCGGGAGATATTGCATGTACCGCGTGATATTATACTGAGTTGTAAATATCTGAATACGGAGTACGTGCCTTAAAACTGAACTAGCCTCAAAACTGTGTACGTGACCCAAGATTGTGTACGTGCCCCAAGACTGTGTACGTGTCTTAAGATTGCGTACATGTCTCTAGACAGCGTGTTAGTGTGTTTACCATAATCGCATCATCCATGACTTCTAAAATTATGACAGAAAACAACTTTTTTTGTGCTGTCGTTGGGGAAGACTTGCAATAGTGTACAGGGGGAGTGAAGGCGTAAACACGGTAGTGTAATCGTGCAGCTCCTTCCTCCGAAGGTTTCCCAACGCCAAGAAACAATCGTAGAGTTACAGCCCCGCTCCTGTGCCAGGTAAGTCCACTACGGGCTCACCATAGCCCGTGCTACTTGGAACTTTTTGTTCTAAATAGCGAATCTTAAACAACAACAACAAACGATCGTACTAAAGTGCCCTTATCCTAACCTACCAGAGGACCTGAAACAGAAAACGGGACGGTATGTCAATTTCGCGAGCCGTTACCATTTTCTATTACGACAATTTTTGGCTTTGGGTAAAATAAGCGTTAAAATGCGACGCTCTATTAGGACGTACTAATGAACGTCGAACAGTCCATTATTGGACGTTTAACCAAATAATTGCTATACATACTATCATTACTGGAGGACGGGCTGCTAAATAACCCTCTCACGGCTAATACAGTCTCCGTGGTGTAGTGGTAAAACACTCGCCTGGCGTTCCGCGAGCGCTATGTCATGGGTTCGTATCCTGGCCGGGGAGGATTTACTGGGCGCAATTCCTTAACTGTAGCCTCTGTTTAACG